CTCATGGACTAGCCGGGCGCTGGTGGCTCACGCCTGTAATCCTAGCTACTCAGGAGGCTGAGATCTGAGGATCGTGGTTCAAAGCCAGCCCCGGCAGGAGAGACCGTGAGACTCCTATCTCCAAGAAACCACCAGAAAACCGGAAGTGGCGCTGTGGCTCAAGTGGTAGAGCGCTCGCCTTGAACTGAAGAGCTGAGGGACAGCGCCCAGGCCCAGAGTTCAAGCCCCACCACCGACCAAAAAAAAAAAAATCTCATGGACTTTCCTGCTAGGGCTGGCTTTGACCTATGATTCTCAGAACATAGCTCCTGAGTAGTAGTATTATAGGTGTAAGCCACCAGCACCCAGATAAGTGTGTGTGTGTGTGTTTAATATAGTAGATTCTATCCAAATACAAGCACTAAAATGATGTGGTTTATATTTCTTTGGGGAGGGGTCATGGTGGAGCTGGGGTTTGAACTCATGGCGTTGCATTTGACAGGCTGGTGCTCTATCACTTGACCGATGCCTCCAGCCCTTTTTGCTTTCATTATTTTTCAGATAGGGTTTCACTATTGCCTGGGCTGGCCTGAATCACAGTCCTCCTATTTCTTCTCGCTGAATAGCTGAGATGATAGGTGGGTATTGGTTAAGATGGGGAATGGGGTGTTGTGAAGTTTTTACCCAGGCTAGCCTCAAACCATAATCCTTGGATTCTCTGCTTCCCAAGTGGTTGGGAGTATAGGTGTAAGCCACTGCACACAGCTCTATGTGTGTTCTGTAGGAAATGATAGAGTAACAGCCCTTGCCTGCTTATCCCAAGTGGATAAGACTCATGGAGAGTTTTGATTACAGATTCCTGGTAAAAGCGTTAGTTTATCTATCATTTGCCAGTTTTCAAACGAAACAAGATGTAAAGGACATGTAGATAGCTAAGCTCTGTAGTGATTCAATTTGTATTTGTCTGTGTGTGTCAGGACTTGGACTTGAACTCAGGGCCTTGTGTTTTCACCCAGCTTTTTAACTCTTGGCAGGAGCTCTATCAATTGACCCACACCTCTAGTTTTGTAACTAAACCTCAAAATACCACAGTCTCAGTAGTTCCAGGGTCATTGATGGGGATTAATTTACTTGGTAAACATTCTTCCATATTTCAGGTGCTGGAAACTTGGAGACATGGTTGTAGTCATGTGGCTTGTAGTCTGGAGGGGACGTGGTGCTTGCTTCTTGAAGACTTGCAGACAAGGATTCATTTTCATTGTGCTTGGTGCTGACACAGGTTTGTGTAGCCTGTATGTTCTGGAGTGCACTTCATTTATTAAACAGTCAGCAAGGAGTAACATGAAGTCTTCTTATTTTCTTCTGTCGTATAGCAGTGAACAAAATCCAACTGAACAAAAGCTAACAGTTGTTTGAAAGCTTTAGTGAGCCTGGTAACTAGTAGGACTTACTAACACACAGGTTCCCAGGTTCCATGTCCAAGACAAATGCATTGTACCAGAAGTGAATGCAAGAATTGGAATGCTAGTGCACATGGCCGGGCACTGGTGGCTCATGCTTGTGATCCTAAGCTATTCAGGCGGCTGAGATCTGAGGACCATGGTTCCAAGCCAGCCTGGGCTCTTGCCCAAGTCTGTGAGACTCTTGTCTCCAATTGACTACCAAAAAAAGCTAGAAGGGGAGCTGTGGCTCAAGTGGTAGAGTGCTACCCTTGTGCACAAAAGTTCAGGGACACGATCAGGCCCTTATTTCAAGCCCAGGACCATGGGGGAAAAAAAGGGATACTGGTGCACATGGTTCTGGAATGGCTCTGAGGAGCATTGGATTGCTTTTTTCACATATTTTAAAGATAATATTTAAAGCCAGGTGTGGTGTCGTAGTATTGGTGGTAGTGGTGTGTGTATAAAATCTAAGGTGAGATAGGAAGACTATGAATTTGAGGCCAACTTGTCCTTAAAAACATGGGGGGAAAATCAGTTTTGGGGGAGGATTAGAAACCAATCATTCTGAGATTGCTAAAGTTAGAATCTACTCAAAAATGGATCTTTTTTGCTGGGTGCCTGTGGCCCACATCTGTAATTGTAGCACCTCAGGGAGCTTAGACCTGGAAGATTAGGTTTTGAAACCAGCTGTGGCAGAAGCATTCTGTAAGACTACACCTCCAAAATAGCAAAAAGCCAGGCTGGAAGCCCAGCTCAAGTGGTAGAGCACCAGTTGAGCAAGCTCAAAGTACTGAGTTCAAACTCAAGAACCTGCAGAAATGAATGTGTTTACACTGGATTTATGGGAAAAGCTTTGGAGTGTCTGACCCCCTTCTTCCCCTTGGAAATGGAATGCATGCTTGCTCTAGTGTTTATTATCTAGGGAGAAGGTATCCGAGTTTACTTTTATTACATTCATTTGTTTGTTTTTGGGGGCTGGTCCTGGGGCTTGAATTCAGGGCTTGGGAACTGCCCCTTTGCTCCTTTGCTCAGGATTGGCTCCCTACCACTTGCTGTCCCTTTGCTCTTTGCTGAGGATTGGCACCCTACCACCTTCCAGCTTTTTTTGGTGGTTAATTGGAGATAAGAATCTCACAGAATTTCCTGCCTAGGCTGGAAGGGTTCGAACCTCAATCCTCAGATCTTAGCCTTCTGATGGGCTCAGATCTTAGGCATGAACCACCTGCACCTGGCTTTACCTAATTCTTTACCTCCCCCTCTCTCTCTGCGCGCGCGCGCGTGCGCGCGCGCGCGCACACACACACACACACACACACACAGGAAGGGGTCAATGACTACTTTCTGCTTCTTTCCTTTGACATCAGAAGCCGCAGCAGACAGCTAGCCCGAATTTACTTACTTGCTGGACACTGAGGAACACTAATCTAGCATCCCTGCCCTATGATGTGGGCGCAGTGACATCCTTGCTTAGTGTCCTCACTGTGCCTCTTCAGAATTCTCCTTTGTCTCTCTTTTGAAAGGTGTATCAGAATTTGGAGTGGGCCTTACAGTTGAGATGGAACTCCAACCTAAGTTGCTTCTTTATATCCTCCAAAAACCCTTCTTAGATAAATAACTTCATCTGTTTTCCAGTGAAAAACACTGAGCATGAGGAAGAGCTGGCGCTCTCCAGGTCTGGTGAGGGGAGAATTTATAGTGTTGCTTTGCAAAGATGGATTAAAGGTGACTAATAAAACTCTTTCCTCTGCCAGTTTAGACTTTTTAAGTGCTGAAGTGGTTGCTTATTTTATTTCAGTAATCACTGCTTTTGCTGAATGCTGGTGTCTGCTACAGGTAGAAAAATAAGCAGGTGAAGAGAGAGATGAATGGTCTAGGGAGGGGTGTGGCCATCTTCCTAGCTTGAGGAAAGCATGCTGGAGAAACAACTTCTCATCTTCTTCTTTGTAATAGTTGCATAAAACAACAGCTTCTATATCATGTGTATGACCTGGGCCATCACCCCATGAATGAAGCTCCAGGAAATACATGAATGCCGTTTGTCTGTACTTGAGTTTTCTGATTTCCTCAGTGCCCTCAGCCTTTGCCATGAGTGACCTTTTGACAATTTTCTTGTGAGTTGGAGTGGATGCTGTTTTAAAAATAAGGTAACCCTCGTGAATTGTGATGTTCCATTCTCACTATGATAGCTTTGCCAACAGTGATGCATCTGATGGATTTTGGTTTAAGAAGCAAATTACAGTTCAGATATATTAAAGGAAAGAATCACATGGTTTGAATTATCTTCAGATTCAGGACTTTGGGTAGGGCTTAGATATGAGAATTGTCTTATACTTTTCTTTTTAATTGAATGTCAGTATTGGAGCTTGAACTTAGAGCTGTGCTCTGTGCTGTCCCTGAGCTTTTTTGGTGAAGGCTGGTGCTCTGCCACTTGAGCCACAGCTCTACTTTTAGCTTTTTACTGGTTAACGGGAGATGAGTCTCACTGACTTTCCTGCCGGGACTGACTTTGAACCCAGTTCTCAGATCTCAGCCTCTAGGTGTGAGCCATCCTGATATACTCAACTTGTATACTCTTTAAAACATCAGATTAATAATTAGAATCTTTTCCTTGTTTTGGAAATTATCTCAGTGTCTCTTAAAGTTGGCCAACAGAGGTCTGGGAAGTTGGCTCAGTTGTAGAGTGCTTGCCTCACATGCATGAGGCCGTGGGTTAAATTCCTCAGTACCACATAAGCAGAAATAAGCAGGAAGTGGTGCTGTGGCTCAAGTGGTAGAACGCTTACCTTGAGCTGAAGAGCTGAGGGACAGCGCCCAGGCCCAGAGTTCAGGCCCCACAACTGACCCAAAAAAAAAAGTTGGCCAACAGAGAGGCCTGTGTACTTATGGAATGTGTAGTTATGGCATGTGTAGTTACAGTGTGTGTAGTTACAGATTATGTAGTTATGGTCTGTGTAGTTACACTGTGTGTGTAGTTATATGTGTGGCTATAGCATGTATAGTTACAGTGAGTGTGGTCATGGTGTGTGTAGTTATAGCATGTATAGTTATGGAGTATGTTGTTATGGCATGTGTAGTTTTAGCGGGTGTAGTTATAGAGTGGGTAGTTATGGCCAGTGGAGTGATGGCCTATAGTTATGGTGTGTGTAGTTACGGTCTGTGGAGTTATGGCCTATGTAGTTATAGTATGTGTAGTTATAGAGTTAGGTGTGTGGAATTATGACACGTGGAGTTTTGTGGGTTTCTTGTGCACATGACTGCAAATTCACTGCTTGAAGATGTACGGATGTGAAGACTTGGGCATGTTCACAGCGAGGTCATTTCCTTCTGTCCTCCCTATGTGACCCACAGTCACCTGGCTGGTACATAGAGTGTGGAGATATTTAAAATCCCACGAAGATGTGTCATCCAGATGTCTTGAGTGTTTCCTTGGGCTTTACTATCTGGGTTGGCATTGCTTCTCAGGTGACAGGTGAGGGAGCTCGGGCACAGGGGTCTTTGCTGCCACTGTGGGCTGCTGATGGTACTGTGCTGTTTCACAGGCGTTCCTGCTGACCAGAGTGGAAGGGATGAGAAGACAGTATGGAGACCCAGTCCCACAGCTCCGTGACTCCTGAGAAGAAGAAAGCGGAGAATTCTATCGTGAAATGCTCCACCCGGACAGATGTCAGCGAGAAAGCCGTGGCCTCCAGTACCACTTCCAATGGTGAGTGGCCATGGGGCTACTAAGTTGCCTTGCCCGGGACCATGGCCACTTATTTTTCTGTTCTTTTGACAATTTGCACCTGGACCAGTTTTGGTTCTGTGAGATGAGAAAAGAAAGCAAGTAGTGGGGGCAGAGGGTCTTGGCGGGGAGGGGTGAGCCTTCCTCATTTCTTTTTTGGCATGCAACCCACTTGCTTCCTTCCAGATTTTCTAATTTGGTAGCTTATTTGTGATAGAAAGTTCCTCTTTGGGCATTTTGGGAATCATCTTGATTAGGCTGGCAGAAGTTGAGGATGCGTCTACATTTTATTTGGAAAGTCTACTGGTTAGAATACAAGATAAAAAAGTTGTATTGTGATCATTTGTGGCAGGGTCTTCCTCTTGCCCCAAATTATATTTAAATTACCTACTTTAAAAGAATTTTAAAATTTCATCGCTAATAACTATGAGAGGTTTTGTTATTGGCATATGCAAATTAATTGTTTTCGGAGACAATTTTGAATCATGGTTCAATATACTATATATCTTCAGTGTTAAAGAGGAGTGTTGAGAGGTGTTTCATTGCAAGCATGGAACATAGAAAAATAAATTCCAGACCCCTTTGTGGTAAAAACAGACTGAAGAGGTTTAGTGGTGACCTTTGCTTCCTTCCAGACTTTCGCACAAGGTAGGCCTGATAGTAGTGATGCCTTTGCTTTTTGTATATTTCAGATTTCATTCTTGGCTTTCCCGAATTTCACGCTTCTTTTCCATGTGCCTTTAGGAAAAATTAGCTGGCTAGCATTTCTAGTTCTTGGGTGTTGGTTGAATATAGGGATTCCCTTACTGATTTGTCAGAATCAGCCTGCACCTCTCCCTAAAGTTGTTTTTTTCCTCTTTTGCTTTCTCATCTCTGGTGCTCTACTACTTGAGCCATATCTCTAGTCCTGCATTTTGCTGGTTTATTGGACATGGAGTCTCTCAGAATTGCCTGCACTGACTGGATTTGAACTTGGATCCTCTAGATCTGAGCCTCCTGAGTAGCTAGGATTATAGTTGTGAGCCACCAGTGCCCAGCACAGTGAGCTTCTTTACAGGGTATAGTTTTCATCTAATTGCAGAGATGACCATCTAATGTCTCTTTATAGCCTCAGGGGTGTGGGTTGAGGGAACTCTAGAGACCCTCTGTTCTATAGGTTCCTTACCTGGTAGCACACATCCCCTGATCCTGCCCTGCAGGCCAGGGGGTGCTCTGTGTGTGTGTGTGTGTGTGTGTGTGTGTGTGCGCGTGCATGCGCGTGTGGTTGGTTGTGGGGCTTGAACTCTGGGCTTGGGCACTGTCCCTGTGCTCTTCACCTCAAGGCTAGCTCAACTGCTTGAGCCACAGTGCCACTTCCGGTTTTTCTAGTGGTCTATTGGAGATAAGAATCAAACGGGTTTTCTGCCCGGGCTGGCTTTGAACCCCGATCCTCAGGTCTCAGCCTCCTGAGTAGCTAGGATTACAGGCGTGTGCCACCAGCGCCCGGTGCTCCTTAAGTTTAGTCTTTCAGAGGTTGGTGCACTGTGTGTGGTACCATTTGTCTACCTGTCCATCCTGTAAACATTCTAGAAATTCTCAGATACCCACATTGTGGCTATCCATTGCAAGGAAAGCAGACACACTTGAATGCTTTAATAGAAGTTAGCAGATCCCACTTCTGGGGAAGAGGTTCTTACGCTTTCTTTCCAAAGCTCTGACATTTGATTTGTAACTGGACAGTGAAAAAACTAGTTTAATACCAAGAACCCAAGGAATGTGATTAAAAATAATGTTTTCTCTCTCATTGACCATTTCTCCATGATTAAAATCAACATAAGAAAGTTTTGTTGCTGGCAAAGTGATTGATGAAGTTGACATAATTAACTTTTCCAGCCCTATGTGGGGTAATTTATTCTTGGTTGTAAGCCTTCCAGCCACACATGTACATTCCACTGCCTGTCCTTACAGGCCTGTCCTTTGGCTTTCCTCTGCTCAGTTTCTGCTCCTAGATAACACTTAGAGTTTTGTTTAAACATATGCACAGCACTGCCAAAATGTATGCTTCAAAACCCTTCAACAGTATTGTACAACTTGTGATCACTCTGAAAGACTGAAATTTAGTATAATATTGGTGACAAATTGCTTTCTAGATCTTGACTGGAAGGCCAGTCACTGTTGGTGACATTTTAGAACTTAGTGTGTGGGCTTTACATGGAAACAGCATAGTATGCATACTTCCTTGTGTGTGCTTTAGTTTTAAGCTTTAGTGTTTTTTAGGAAACAGAAATGACAAAGGAGATGACATTTAGTTTTCTGAATTAATTTTTCAGTGCAATTGTGATTTAAGCGGTCCCTTTTGACATCCAGTGTGGTGGCTTTCATATATAAAATGTACGTTCAGCCATTGGTTTATTTAGGGATATTCAAGTCTGTTAATATGCTAAGACTCTCAAGTAAAATACCTTAATGGTCTGGGTGGTTGATTTGGATTCTTCACTAGCTAAGCTACATGTTCTGGTTTCTAAACAATACAGGTTGTTGTCAATTTATGTCTTCCAGAGTTTTATGCATTCTCATTCCCATTCATACAAAATAATATCTTTCCACCACTTGCAAATATTGAATCTTTAGTTTGAAATGTGTTACCCCTATTTTGGGCCCATAATTTTTTTTTGTTTTGTATTTTTTGGGTCCGGTCATGGGCCTGAACTCTGAGCCTGGGCGCTGCCCCTCAGCTCTTCAGCTCAAGGCTAACGCTCTACCACTTGAGCCACAGAGCCACTTCTGGCTTTTTTTGTTTTTTTTGCTTATGGGTGCTGAGGAATCGAACTCAGGGCCTCAAGCATGCAAGGCAAGCGCTTTACCACTGAGCCACCTTCCCAGCCCCCCATAATTTTTTTTAAAGAAGTAATTTGATAGTTCTTATTAACCTGCTCCTCAGCTTTAGGAAAGGAACTCATTATAAATGATACAGACAGTAGTCTCCTAAGGATCTTTGTTGGATCTGCTGGTTATTGACGACTTGCCGTGGTAATAGCAGCGATTGCTGTCCTATGGTGACACATGTGAAACCGGAATTGTGCCCCACTCATCTCTCAAGTCTGCTTGGAAGAGTTCAGTTATCTGCTTAAATGTGCTTAGAGAGAGGGAAGGGATGGGATCCATTTTATGGTCTAGGACCACATCAGGAGCTTGCTTGTTTGTTTTGTTTTTCTTTGTTTACTTTCTAGATTTCAAATTGTCCATGATTAGTCTATTTGTGTGGATCTCCTGAATGGAGTGGGAGGTGCAAGTGGACCTGGGTTTCGTTGAAAGCTTGAAATTCGTGGCTGTTTTCCACCCTGGATCCATCTCTTTGACCTGTGTTGTACCCTAAGTCTAGATGCTGAATGCTATTTGGAACTGACCTGGATAGTGAGTTTTACATTAGATGGTGAACACCCTTTTTCCTTGTCCCCCAAGTCCCCTCCTGTCACACGGCAGATAAGTGGGAGGGAGTTTCAGATGTGATAGATACACACACAAGCTTGGGTTGAGTTTTGGCAATACCCAGAACCAGCTGTGGAAGCATGAACTCTGACCCAGAGTTTCCTTATCAGTTGAACAGGGTGACAGTTCTGCCTACTTTTGGGACACGTGTAGGGAAGAGCATTAAGAGTGGCGGTATTTATGCGGGCACATCCTGTCTTGTACAAACTCCCACACCCACCAACTTTCTTTGACTCTTTCCTCTTCTTGGTCTCTTTCTTCCTTTTTCCTTCTTCTTTATTTTTCCCTCTTAGTTGTGGAAAGTTGCGTTCCATCCCAATTATGAAATCTTTGGAGACCATTCCACATGGCTCAGTGCAAGCAGTCCTTCTCTGTGGAGGTGTATGGCCACATACTGGTGTATGTAACAGTAAGAACTCTTCCAAGGCCACCCAGTGTCACAAACATGTTGCTGAGTGAAAAATAGGATTGATCCCAAAACAACGGATTGTGTTTTCTTGACAGTACACCCAAGTTATGAAATTTGGGGGAAAATGTTTGGCAAAAAATTAGAATGAGTTGGCTGACTCAGATGTCTTAAAAAAAATAGTTGAAGATGTTTCTCAAAGCTACATGTGACTAAGTTTGCTCATCTTAAGGAACAATTGATCAAAAACAAAAACAATACTACCTATATAGTCAAGTTTCTTTACCCTCTTTGTAGGTAAGTTCATTCTTCAATCAGATAATGGGGAAAATAATTGGAAGGAAATTTATTTAGATTTCCTTCACATGGAATACGAACACTGTGCTGATTATGTAGCTTACAGTGGAAATAACATATTTACATACAGCTTTACATCTCTTTCCTTGATCTCCCCTTTCCCTCCCTGGGGTCAGCAATTTCCTTTCAGGTTATAATGGCCATTTCTAGGGGGTGGTTTGCGCAATAGTAGAGTCAGGATTGATTTTCTACGTTTAAGAGCTTTCTTTCATGTTTTTAAACCAACTAAAGATGATTAATCTGATACTCACAAGAATTCTGAATTGAGCTCCAAACACTCTTACCGGGAATCCTGGCTTCCAGTGTCTTCTTTATTTTTGTTAAGCAGATCCTCTTTCCTGTGGTCACCCAGGCTTGAAACCTCACTGTCACCTTTGACCCCTCCCTTTCTCATGCTTCCTGTGTCCTGCCACTTTTGAGGTCTTGGTAGATTTTCCTCTATAATTATTCATCCATGAGTCCCTTCAGGCTACCCGGCACTATTTAAATCTTCCCAGCTGGTTGCCTGGGCAATTAAGGAGACCTTCCAGTCCCTCACCTTGCCATTCATTGCCTCTCTCTTCTTCCGCATTGGACACACACCTGCCAAATTAGTGTCATTATGGGTCTAGTTAGGCCACTCCCCTGCTCTAGAATCTTCAGTGACTTCTGTCTACCTATAGATGAATCATCTTATGTCTGACTGTCCAGTCTGATAGGCTACCTTTCTCCTGTACCACCTCCTAAAAGTACACCTTGATTACAATGAGGC